TATGACTAAGTACCTGCAAAACATCTGACAGTCCTATCAGCTTCCTCTATTTGTGTTCATTGCCCATTAGCAAATGTTAGCGTGCTAACAGGCATGGTGAACATGTTACTTGGTAAACATCAGCACGTTAGCATTTAGCTTTGCAACCTTACAGGCCACTTGTAAACTATTAGTTCGGTTTGAAATAAGCTTAACTGGACTTTTACCTGGGTGTTTTCTGCTGGAATACAGAAAAACCAGCCCCACAAAAATCCTTGCAAAGGTTCACTGACAAAATAACTAACATAAATCCACATCCTGCCAAAAAAAAAGGCAATACAACATTTCGTGTCCAGAACTTTGAAACATGCATTTTAATTAAGTAGGAAAATGCAACACTGTCTGCTAGAAAACACATTTATTTATATATTAGTAAACTGTTTTCCAGTTATGGTGGGATAACAAAAGTAATTACTGGCTGGATTAGGATCAGAGACTATGTGTTTACACCAGAATGAGGAGATATTTGTGGATGTGCAAAGTGCAGGATCCCAGGGTTCACACTTTGACACCAGCCTGTAGTTCACACAACAAAACAACACTTTGGTGAAGGTCGGGGAAAGACTGCTCTGGTTAAATAGTGATAAATTAAATGTGTGGAGCCACTGCAGACCTTGTCTGTATTAAACCAGAACACAGTCTTTGGATCTACAGTGTCTCACTGCTGAAGGACACACATTCACATCACCCAAACAAACACAAACATACAACAGCTCATTTAAACTTTGGACAAATGACCAATGCTGCAGTTTTTCTGGTGAGGACAGTGTTTTTCTGTGCTGAGGTCCTAATGCTCATCACACTACTGGTTAACTAATCAATAAGCCAATCCACAGACATTAGTCAGCAACTATTCTGATTATCTACTGATTGTTGAAGTCATTTTTCAAGGAGATTTCCAAGTAGCTGATAAATCTTCACATGTGAGATATGCTGACTTCTCTTGATGTTAAATTATATTAAATTCTATATTTCTGACTGTTAGTTGCGCAAAAGACCCAATCATCTTGCCTTCCGCCCTGCATCTCCTGATCTCCGGCATACGTCCCAATCATCTTGCCTTCCGCCCTGCATCTCCTGATCTCCGGAATACGTCTCAATCATCTTGCCTTCCGCCCTGCATCTCCTGATCTCCGGCGTGGGGTGCGGCTCCTCAGCATCCTCTTCAGCTGCGGGACCAACCCACCTGCACGCCATCCTGTCTCTCCGGACCTCCGGCGCCGGTGCAGCTCCTCCGCTCACTCCCAGCCCAGCTACAGCCTCCTCTCCTCCTCCTCCTCTTCGACAATGCCGCCTTGGTTCCAGCGCATCATAATCCTTCGGAACCAGCGGTGATCGGTCCCAGTTTGTCCTCCACACAGTCGAATCGTCTCCCCTGCCTTTACACCAATACATTTGTCTTGCCTGCTCTGAATCCGAGTGCTGCACTTTGGGTCCGTGCTTATCACATTTTCACTGTTTCCTGCTGTTTTTAAAGAACAAGTGATTCATTAACCTGAGCAAACACAGTGCAGATGCAGTGTCAAGCCACATATCTGCTCTTTGTCTGGGTGAGGACTGGGTTCACTTTGTGTTAAGGACAGGTTAGGTTTGAAAAATGATGTTTCTTACTGTGGCGCTCTGAAGGTTTATGACAGCCTGGCCTGACACCCTCCTCTCTGGGCCCAAATAATGGGTAAGCATCATTTAACTCATACACTGAGCTTCCATATGAATGCTCTCCCATTGCTTGGCAAATTTAATTGTTTATTATGATGAAAATATTTGTTGCACATATTTTTTATTTCATTCTATCCTCTATTTAGGCAGGGAGGTCTCTTCTTTCAGGGAGTCCTATTCAAGATGCAAACAAAATCATTAACTGGACATAAAACTAAGGAACTTTGCTATTCATAGTATGGAAGTAATCATCACGAATCTAAGACAGGAAGCTGTTAGTTTGGTTTGCCATAAAGTGGTGTTGAAGTGGAGACTGTGACCTGTTGGTGGTGCTGGAGGAAATGTCAAGTAATAGGTTTCCCCTTCTAGGCATCTGAATGTCTGTACAAAATTTCAGTCTATGAAATGCTGTTGAGATATTTCACCATCCTAACCAAAGAAAAGGGACTAACATTGCCTCAGTATGTCTAAAAAAAGGCAGATGTGTGTGTATATGTGTGTCTCAGTGTGTGTGTGTTTATGAGCGGACTTTCCACCAGTGTGTGGAGTCATTTTACCACACAACACGTAAACAGGAGGAGCCTGTTGCTTTATAACGGCTCAGGCTCACAGTAGCTGCACAGTTTCTAACAAAGCAGCATCTGTGAGATCAGGGTGAGTAACATCTAAGATATTAATCTGTCTGTCTGGACTGGTTCACAGCGCTTTTACTCTCAAGAAGATAGTTTACATTACTGTTAATGTGTGGAGAAAGGCTGAGCTTCCGCTTTAGTTTACTAGTATCATCGCTGGATCTGTTTTTGATTAGGGTTTTAAAAAGGCTGAAATATCAGCGTTGTCAGAGAAAATGTACTTTTATAACGTGTTGTTTGCATGCCCTATGTTTTCGTGTCATTTCCACGCTTTGTTTTTTTCATGTAATAGTTTTATATGCGTTCACTTTGGTTTTTTTATGAGATATTGAGATTTTCTTGACATTGTTTATACATATATTGAAATGAGTATAATGATGATGATATAATGTGAAGCTGTCCTCACACTGTGTGGAATTTTGGGCACTTTGGGAGCATCACCCTCTTTATCAGTCATAGATATAAACACTGTATACATCTTTAAGTTAATTAAAATAAAAACTATCCCTACAGACAGTAGCGCCTCTTCAACCAGGTCCAAATATTCACCTTAGTGACCAGTTTGAGCACAAACAGGGCAGATAGTGATGCTTCTGTAGTGTTTGTGTTAACTTTAAGCATTCTTTTTAAAATGTTTCTCTAAATGTAACAAAACTCTATTATATAGCCAGACATTTAAAATACATAGACAGCCATTTAAAACATAGACTAGGGAAGCAATGACAGATATTAGCTCAAATTAAAATAAATTTGTAATTAATATTTATTTAGCTTGCAGTTAGTTAGACTAAATTCTAACATCAAACTTTATTCCTGTGAAATGTAGGACCACTAGAATGAAAAGCTCTTTCTTTCCCTCCGCCATCAGACTCCTAAACAGCTGAGGAGTTTATTACCAGGAAATACGTGTTGTACTGTTTACATTCTCAGTTTGCACAT